CTGGAAATTATGCAAATTGCTGAATTTCAAAAATGAAAGAGATAAAAAAGATAACCCCTGGTTTGTGAAGAATATTACAACTAACAGGTCAGAAAATAGGCTACACGCAGGAATACTTATGAAATGTGAAAAGGTTATTACATTTTACTTATTACATACTTATTGTATACTTATTACATACTTATTATATACTTATTACATTATTTTTATTTCCAGTAATTTAACTTACATAGACATTCATTTTGCGATGTCAATAGAAAATACAAATTACATTACTTGGGATGTACACTAAGCTATAAATTAGTTGCGTATCCGCTTTTTTTTATTAATCCTAGAAATTATGAATATTTGCTGAATTTCAAAAATGAGAGAGATAAAAAAGAAAATTCATGGATGGTGAAGAACGACCAACAGGTGAGAAAATAGGCTTTACACAGGAATATTTATGAAACGTGAAAAGGTTATTAGATTTTACTCATTATATATGTTACTTGCATTATGTTCATTTCCAGTCATTTAAATTTCATAGAAATTTATTTTGCGATGTCAATAGAAAATTCAAATCAGCGCCTAGACACTGCGAAAAAAATTTTAAAAAATCATAATTTATTACCTTGAACATAGCCTCTCTTCAGAAAGGACAACACATAAGTAACCCGTCTGCCACAGCTAATAGATAGACTTGATAGGCAGAGAATTCAGTAATAATTCTCTCACATTGTAAATACCACTGATTTTATACACTAGCAGACCAATACTATCATCTAGACGCGATCTTGCTATTCAACCAATCTCTGTCACATCTTCTCTATCATACAGCACAAAACTTTATATCCTGCAACCAACAAAGCATGTTGGCAAACTGACTTGCAGCATGGTTGTTGAGCATGTCGTTGAGTCATTCTTCCATAGGTGACGCTCACAGCACTCATAGCGAGCAAGAGTGGAATAAACTATATGCACACTAGGAGCTATCTAGTCAGCAAGTTGACATGTCGGCTTTTTTTCGACATTATATAGGTTTTACGTAATAATAACAGGGCCCTGAAATGCGCGGGCCCAAAGCAGTTGGTACTCTTATTTATAATCTTATGAATGGATAAAGAAAGAGGTTCAAGGCGTTAAATTGGCAGTTCTACATTGCAGCTCTCTTGTAAAAACTTAAAAGCAGGTTCATCATTTTGCATGCCTTCAGATGAAATAACCCATAATAACAGATTATCCTGTAGGTTATCTAGAAAGTTCAAATCAAGTTAAATGTCTGCTACCCTCCTTCCTTACTTGCAAATAACGCGAGACATGAGAAAGTTGAAATTATCTTCGTTGCATGTTGACCTCGGTGATTTTTCCTCTCAGTTGAAGTTCCGTTAGTGCATACAAGGTTCTGAATTAAAACGCGCGTAGGCTTCACAATATTCTATCTAGCATTTTTGTACTGACAAGCGAACAATGCAGTGACATCCCAAGTTCCTTATTACCTTTAAACTTTATAACATAAAGGGCATGTCTTGAAAAAAGTTTAATTTAATGTCTAATTCTTAGTGACCAATTAGGTAATGGCCTATAAATGGGAAGAAAGTCGAAGGCGTAATTGTGTTAAGAACAAGAGCAAGAACACAGTTACATTTATACAGGATGCATCAACGACATCCTCAGTGTTAGTTCGATATGTGAAAATTATAAACTAATTCATCCATCCAGAGCTAATGATATTAGGATTTCTAACCATGGACACCCGCAGGGGGCTGTTCAAAAACCTTTGAGGTCTGATACGCCACTGTTCTATAACAAGTTTTTGGAACGGGTAAACTTTCACAAGAGGTCGTCTCTAGCAGATGATCGCCCCGTCCCCCAGAAAAAAATTCTTGTGGGCGCCCATGTTTTTACCTGTTAAATAAGGGAAAATAACATTTTAAGCAGTATTTACCCCTCTACCACAAAAATACAGGGTGTTCCGTGTTTAAATGACATAGTGGAATGGTATGTAGTATGGACCAAGGCTTTTTACATCTGAAAATGAAAAACTCCTGAATTCATTTTTACTAAAATAGTAAACTTTATCTAAACACTCCAAATCTTTAACATAATATATCTCAGGTACTATTAAACCGATTTGGATGAAATTTTGCACAATAAAGTGTTACCTGAAAGTGAAGTATACCTAGTCGGACAGTTAAAACACAGAGTCTTTTTAACTTTTTGTCCATGTGCAAAAAAGCTAATGTACCTATTAATTAGCAAAGCTGGGTGACTGCGCCCCTTAATGTTTCAGTTAAACAATTTTATTTATTCAAATATCCTATTTCCATCAGTTTATGTGACTACCGAAAAAAGTGAATAAGCGAAAGAATAATGAATTCAGACTACTCGTATAAGGTACAAGGCGTTACTCGTACAACGTAACAAAGAAATAAAAAAAGTGAGTCCAGCCCACAAACTTTTGTCCTATGGGTAATATGGCATCTAGCTCTGGGTAATAAAGCAACATGTTTTCGTAACGTAAAAATTAGGAAATTCAACTTTTTATAGATAATGCTGATAATTGCAAAAATACACTTTTATTTCCAATGAAAATACTCGAAAAGTAGAAAACAAGATAGACAATCCTAATAATGTAACTGCTAATATACTTAGGTATAGGTACTGGTAAATATCCTGTAATGTGATTTTGTCTTGGTAGCTATTTCGGATAACAGCGTACACTCTTCGCAAAATCTGTCAGATTGCGTACTTATTTCATGGACCCATTTCAAACATGTTACACATTGGAGCCAGTCGCATTTGGGATCTTTTTTATCGTAAAAACACCCATGATATGCTGCACAAAATTCTAACTCATCAGTATCGATTTCTGAATCGTCGCTTTCTAGGGTTACTACCTCGGTTTCGGAGTCTGACGAATTTGGGCTTGGTAATTTTTTAGTTTGCTTTTTTGGAACTACCTAAGCTCAACAATACTTTGCGTTTTTTTCCGTTCTTTTTGTTTTAATTCTGTTCTTTTTACTTCTTCCTTTGTTCGTTTTGCGCAAATTGTTTCTGGCAAAGTTAGTATTTCGGCATGTTGTTTTCGTCTATAGCCACTTGGTCCTGGTTCCACGCATGGAACCGGTGAAATTGCTTCAAAGGGGTTTCTATTTTCGGGGTTGTTGACTGCAATGACACTCCCTGGTCTGTGGTCGTTTTGCTCCTCACTGAGAATGTCTTGTGGGTTGTGTTTGTCTTCAGCTGATGCTTCGTCGTTAATGGTAAAAGCATAATCGGGAATTTTTTCGGGATTAAAAGGGTAAATCCCACAGGTTCTGAAACCGGAAGTCCCATTTTGAATTGTTGCATCCTTACACCAGGCAATGTTTAAAAGTTGGGCGAACTGCAATAGGTTCAGTTTTCGAATAGGATTGTTATGAACCCAGTTTTGACATGTTTGAGCCCAATAATAATTTAAGGGTTTGAAGAATGATCGATCAAGCGGTTGAAGCCAATGTGTGGCGTGGCTGGGCAAACAAAGCGATGACGTTATTCGCTACAGCAAAATCCAACAGTTCGACATTAGAACAGTGCGAAGAATGTCCATCCATAATTAATAGAACCTTACCGGCACCTTTCCGCGGAACAAAAAATTCACGAAACCATTGTAAACAAATTTCAGATGTGACATAAGCTGACTTCTCGCCCATAAAAACCTTCCCTCCAGGTAGTAGACCATCTTCAAATTCCCTTTTTTTGTTTTCCCTTTGAATATACAGCAGGGTGGGAAAAAACTTCCTTCTGCGTTTACACACGTTATAACGGAAATAGTTTCTCCCTCTTCAGCACTCGTGATACAGTTTACCATTTTAGCGCCTTTAGTTACTACAACTTTGCCTGGATTATTATTTAACTGCAATCCAGTTTCATCGAGATTAAAAATGTTTTGAGGCTTATTTAATAAATTATTTTCTCTCAAAACGTTTCCTAGCAGTTCGAAATATTGAGTACATTCTTGTCTCGTCATGCCTTTGGCTCTGGCAGTAGACATTCCTTCAGCCTTACGTACTGCCAGTTCAGGATGTCGTCTCATGAAGGCGAGAAACCTATCTTGACCTGCCCTTTTTCATTCGGTATTAAAATTATGTGGAATATTTTGTTGGATCGCAAAAGAATATGCAAGCTTTTTTATATCATGAGCAGATAAAGCAAAGCCGTGCGATGACATGTTTTGTATATATTTGACTAAACTTGTTTCTTGTACCATACTGAGTAAGCTTTTGCGACCTAATGCCACTTTATTTAAGTTTCCCGACCGCATTCTTCTCATTAAGGTTCTAACTGGAACATTATAAGTACGACCTATTTCTCGAACCGATCCTTTACCTCCATGAATATCAGATACTGCATTCTGGAGGTCTTCTTCTGACCATTGAACTCTTACATTTCTTCGAAAATAAGAACGTGGCATTGTGTTAATCTGAAATAAGCAGAAAAACGCACCACATTAGGATCTGTTTCATGAAAAAAATAAATGGGGTAATAAGCCGCACCGTCACTTTTATGCGGCATATTGCCCCACTGCGCAACAGTAACATTTCAACTAAAAAGCACAAACCCCGTGTAAATACAGGAAGCGGTACATGTGTTAAATGTTAGGTTATGGATCTTACTTTGCCTAGCAATAAGGATTCTTTAAATCGGACCACGAAAACTTGAAAAAACTCTTATCATATCTCATATAAAAATAATTTTTGGTTTGTACTTACCGGTTTTTTTGGGTCTATCTTACACTAAATCAAGTAATTAACACACATTCAAAGTTAACGGGCTTGCTTGCATTTATGGCGACAGATTAATGTGGTAGGTGCCCTCTGTAACCGTCGGAGTGAACTATGAGCGAAGTGAGGTGTATTACCCGTTGCGGCATATTTCCCCGTTTTACTCTATATAAATATTTTTAACTGAAACGCCAAAAGCGACACAATCAATCTATTTTGCTAATTAATAAGCACCATTCATTTGCTTTTTTGTACTGAACTTTCAATGTTTCTCTTAAAAGGTTTTGATTTTGATGAAATAATGTTATCATTATCTAGTCTGACCCTAGATTTTTCAACCGTCCGACTATATTTACGTTACCCTGGATAACTCTGTTATTGTGCAATATTTTATCAAAAAGGGTTCACTAGAACCTGAGATATGAGATATTAAAGATTTAGTGAATTTAAATAAGTGTACCCTTAAAAACTGAATTTGGATCCTTTTTATTTTCAGATATAAAAACGTCGCGGTCCATACTACCTATCGTTTCACTGTATCCATTGAAGACCGGTAAATCTTGAATATCCATGACATCTAGAACACGGCACTACGCATGGGTGCAGAATAAGCAATTCTTGGTAACTTAGTAGCTGGCTTGTTGTTTGGAATAGTATTAACAACCGCTGTTGCCTCCAGAACAGCCCTGAGCATTTCCTTCAGTTGTTTATTCTCCTTTAACAGTTGTTTTTTCTCTTCTTTTATTTCCATTACATCCACTTCTACTTTACTGTATTTCTCCCAAAAACGTTCCAGATGGCTTAGAGTCTCAACACACTTGTCCACAATGGTGGGTTGTTGTTTTGGTGCAAAGCTTGATGACGAGGATGTGGACGAAAGAGAAACCGCAAGATTTTTCACTTGCAGGGTCACCTGGTCTACAGTAGTAACGTCCTTTAATTCCGGTGTTGGTGTTTCTAGTGTACTTATTGAAATCGCTGTTTTTGGTCGTGGTCGGCTTATAGACGGCTGTTTCTGAGAATCAGCTAAAAAAATACAAAGATATAATAATCAGTTAACATAAGTGAATGGCAATCAAACCACACATCAAGCCATGCTAAAGTAACTAAAGCGCCGGATGCTAAAAATGTAGATGAGCTATCCTGAATAAATCACTTAATAGATGTGATTCATTTAGAGGTACTTTTTTGGTGTGGCTGTAATTGCTTATGGCGCATGCGTCATGACAACTAATTTGACATTTTTTGTTTCAGTATTGTTCGACATTTCATCATGGAAAGACTTAGTCCAGCACAGCGTCTATAAATAATTCAGCTGTACTACGAAAATCAACGTTCTGCGAGAAGTGTGTTTCGTGCACTTAGAGCAACTTATGGTGTACATATTCGGCCCACCGAACGCACAATACACCGTACGGTCGAAAAATTTGAAACCCAATTTTCATTATTGGATAATACCCGACCAAATAGACCACATCCAGCACGCAGTGAAGAAAACATAGCTGCGGTAGCTGAGAGTGTACGTGAGGAGGCGCCGTTCTCAACAGCTTGGTTTGTCGTATTCAACAACTTGGTGTATTTTACGTAAGAATCTTAATTTGAAACCATACAAAATTCAACTCGTTCAAGAATTGAAGCCGGCCGACCTTCCAAAGCGTCATCGTTTCAGTCTTTGTGCTCTTGCACGGCTTGAAGAAGATCCCATGTTTTTGAGCAAAATTTTGTTTAGCGATGAGGCCCATTTTTGGCTTAACGGCTACGTTAATAAACAAAACTGTCGTATTTGGGGTGAAGAACAACCCGAAGTGGTTCAAGAGCTGCCATTACATCCAGCGAAAACAACGGTTTGGTGTGGTTTATGGGTCGGTGGAATCATCGGTCCCTATTTTTTTTAAAAATGAGGCCGATCAGAACGTAACTGTGAATGGTGCTCGTTATGATAACGGATTATTTGCTGCCTGAAATTTATTGAAGCCCGTAATCTCAATGACATTTGGTTCCAACAAGACGGCGCCACTTGCCACACAGCCCGTGCAACCATGGCTTTATTGCGAGAACATTTCGATGAACACTTAATTTCACGATTTGGACCAGTGAATTGGCCACCTAGATCATGTGATATCACACCTCTAGACTTTTTCCTTTGGGGCTACGTTAAGTCCAAAGTCTACATTGATAAGCCCAATACGATTGAGGAATTAGAAGCCAACATTACGCAGGTCTTTCGCCACATTCCAGCCGAAATGCTCCAACGTGTCATCGAAAATTGGAACTTTAGAATGGACCATCTCAACCGCAGTCAGGGCCAACATTTGAAAGAAATGATATTTAAAAAATAAATGTCAAAAATAGATCTTTTCTTTATTAAAAAAGATTTGACAAGAAAAAAGAATTTTGTTATTTTATTTTGTTGCTGAAAAAAGTACCTATAAATGAATCACCCATTAAAACCTTTCTGCAGTGGTGTCATCTATTTTATCATAAACTTCAGGAGCATTCGCAATCACTAACTTGTGGGAAATGCAAACTCATAAGTTCGCATCATTGACTAATTCTACTTGAAGATAGCCAGTTATATACTTTATCGCTGCGTCCAAAGATAGATCTGAAAGATACCACAGTCATTTATGAGTCAGTAGCAGAATGCAACAAAATGAATTTGGAAATCTACTTTCAAAATGCCTCTCTAATGCCTATTTTAATTTAGTATCTTTAGGTGGAATATGTCAATCAATGCCTAAAGACATCCAATTAAAACAGGCGTTAGTGAGGGATTGAAGATTGAGCCGCCAAGCCAAAGACTCTCTTTTCAAACTATTGAGTTGGCAACTAAGTGAATGCGGATTTTCTTGACAGATAGTGGTCATACCCTATTTCACGAGTATCCATTACGGTACAATGACAGCTGGTTATCTGGTGATATTTCAAAACTTTCCATATCGGCAAAGGACACAGAATCCTGACATATCCGTCAATGTCAGGTGGACAGAGACATACTTTCTTTTCGTTTTTTGTACAGAACAGATTCATTTTGTACTTGCTAAAAGCATTTTCATTTAGAAAAGATCATTTGCATACAAAAAACAAAACGCCACAAACAAATTTTTGATAGATTTGTACCCGATTGCAGACTAACACAAAACCGTCAGTTGCTGATCAGCTGTTCACCTCAGTAGACGTCAAAGCGTGAGGGATACTCGTGAAATAAGGTATTCACTTTCTTTTGTTTCGTTGGCGTATCCAAAGTATATAACCTATATGTTTTATTATTGTTTGTACTTATATCTTTCATTTAGTAAAACAATTCTTTCTCGCCGACACAAAGCTCGCTAGCACTTGATCCATTTTGTTTGAGTTATACATGTTCGCAGTTAACTTTTTTATTATATCAATAATCTTTTACGAACTGATGACAGCGTTGCGTGTGAAGTGCATTTTTCATCACCGGAACACAGTATACGGTTGGATATCTTCAGGTAGAAGGGCAGTGAGTTCACAGAAAAGGTTTGTTTTTTGTTTCACTTTATCATCCTTACGCTTTGATGTAGTTCCTCCTTTGATAACAGGGAGTTTCTCTTCGATTTTTTCATTTCCTTGATCCTCTTGGGAAGCAGAAGAAAAAAATCCTCTTGAAGGTATCCATTTCGAAAGCTTCTCTCTCTCGGTCTCAAATTTCTGGCAATTTTTACTCAACATTACCAATGTTTTTCCCTTGGCTAGAAGATTCTCTAAGTAATTAATCGTTTTGTACGAAGTATCGGTGAGAAATTCTAATTTCAGTTTATCATTCTGCAAATCGTCTTTCAACATCTGTTTTGCTTTGATGAAGTGGTCATTTAGTGTTTTCAATTCATTTTCCAGACCGCTTATCTGAGTGCTCCGTTTTGATTGCAAATTATCCAATTCCTGTTTCAGTCTGTCTTTTAAAGCCTGCAACAAGTACGCGTTATTACAGTGAAATTATGCAAGAAACTAAAAGATTGCTGAAAGTCGAAGGGGTCAACTTTCAAGCGCAGATCATAGAATGCTCCCTGGGAAATAATCCCTGGGGAATGATTACACACTCTGACAGCTGTTGAGGTTTTAAAAAAAGTTTGTGAATGTATCAATTTGGGGCAAAATAATTTATTCATATGTTCTTCATATAAACTTCGTCTTTAGAAATGAGACTGGGACTTTTGCCCGAGAACGTCTTGGTGAGTGACTGTTCTATTAGTCTTCAGAAATACACTTCACCTAAACGTAATGAACCGCGCCTACTTTCTCTCGGTTACTCTACTCTAGTCCACCGCTCATATCTTTGAAAAAATGGTGTCATGTAGACTGAACCTGCACTTCCCATACAACGCCGTCATCAATACATAAAAAGTTATACCCTCTGAGAGAAAATGTAGTTACGAAAACAGATATTAAACGGATCTAGTCAGTCAAACAGGCTCACATACTACATTACGTAGACATTCTTTCCCTGCCCTACCGGTAGTTACTGTTCATCTGGCAACGTTGTCCCTTTCCAAATTATTTCTCTATCATTCTAAGTTTTAAAGACAAATGTACGGGAAAATCTATGATGTGTGAAATATGGCTAACAACTGTAAAGAAGGTTGGGAGCATATAAATTTACTAAGAGCAAAAAAATCATATTAACTCCCCCATCCCCTACATGCCTCAGCCCCCGAATTCAACCTCTATGAATTTTCTCAAAAAACGAAGTTTGAGCGATTTTAAATTTTTTGCGGTTTTTACTTTTCCAGAAAGCTTCTTCGTCCATGGCATAGTAGTAACCTTGAATGGAAATTAAAATTTCATCAAAATCCGAGAGGTACTTCTCAAGTTAAATACGGGCCAAGGATTAGCGGACAGACAGAACCACGGCACTGAGTGACATGGTTTTTCGTGGTGTACTTAATAACATCCAAAAAAACACAATATTCCATTTTCGAAATTTTTCGCGACTACAATTTATCCTGGCCCAGTATTGGTGTGAATTGAAAAAATAGGGGCAGAACAATATCATGGGGGATTGTTCACAAGCGGCCTAAGTATGCTATTTTTCATTTTTGCGATAAAATCGTTGAATAAACTGGGTCTTTCAAAAGATACGAAGCCAGTTGGATGGGAACATTTTTCCCAATATCTTTTTTATTTGTTAGAGAAAATGACTATCCGATAATTCCAAAGCCTACTTAGAAAATTCTTTTCTTTAAATCATGTCAATATATCACTAACTTATATATTGAACTCAGAAGTAAAAACTCTATTAACCTGTTCCAAAATCCAGACGAAAGAAACCGAATATTCCTAAAATCCAGTTTATTATTCCCTGACTTTATTTGAGAAGTAATTTCAAAATAAAACGTACATTAACTTTGTTTTTTCTTATAGTCGCCATATTGTATTTTTGCATATGTGAATTGAGTTTTTGATTCCGATTTCAAAAATGTTCAATGTCGACATTCCCAAACCTCAAGATAAAACAATTTCCTAAGTAGGCTCTTAAATTAGCAGATACTCACTTGTTTCATATCATCATACATTCCTTCCTTTACCTTTGATGAACTAGAGGTGATCAGTCCCTATTTCCGATTCGAATATTGTGTACAAACTATAAAAATATTAGTTTTTTTGAAATATTTTTAGGTTTAACATTGTCAATATATTTATGACATACAATATTGGAATTAGAATTGATAACCCTATTCACCTGTGCAAACATCGATTATGACGTCCATAATTAGAAATATAGTTAATTATTGATGACAAAAAACGGAACGTCAAATTGAAAATGTAACTATGCCCCCCCTGTAAAGGAATAAAGTTACGAAAATAAAAAGTTTTCTCTTTCCCCGGAAATACTGTGAATTGCAAAACTTTTTAAATGACATATATGTCACAGTTATTCAAGTTGTTGGCCCCATTTAATACACTTCGTAGCTTTAACCATTTCCGAGATCCCAATAATGAGTCGAATTTGAAACACCCGTTATACAGTGTGCCCCAGATTCGCTTGTCTATACAGGGATCTCGGCTTCTGTTATACCTACAGCAAACATTAAATGAGGGCAGTTTAGTGGAAACTTACGATAGCCAGCCTCAGTTTGACGATCGGTTAACTGGTTTTGAAAATATCGGCGAAAAACCGAAAATGACGATTTTTTTTTGCCAGTAAATCCGAAACGGTTAATTTGACAGCTGTCAAAATGTGACATTATACGGAC